ATCTAACTACCCTTCGGGTGTTGCTGGTAGTACCTACCAAGTAGTACCGGTAGTACCGGAAGTACTTTAAGATTCGAAATGACTCGTAACGAGTTTAATATTTGCAATGAAAATCTTACTACCCTTCGGGTTTTGCTGGCAGTACCTACCAAGTACCTACCAGAATGTAGGTGGTACTCATCGGAATTAAGTAGGTACTACATATTTTTGGTAGTATTTTCATCTCGTTTATAACGTTACGGGGTAAATACCGGTATATATGTATCGGAGAGCGCGTTCGGTTGCGTGCCGGTACGACGCCCTGGGTGGCGTACCGGCTGAGCGGTACAGTTGTCGCGCGCCCACACCGGCCGATGCTCACATGTCCTTTATATCAACTACATATCTCTGCTCACGCGATCTCTCCTATATATCCCTATAGGCGCTCGGTGTGTTTTCGTATGTGTCGGTACTAGGCGCATCTTCTCCCATATCGAGGCAGTACCACACACGCCACACCTAAGTCGGGAAAAAATCGGCGTTCTTTTCGAGAGGAAACGGAAATATCGCCAAATACGCGCCTAGTACTACATTCGACCTTGCTCCGCTAACTAGTTACACCGGGTACTACCTGTCGCAGATATCAATCCGGTTCGTGGACTTATTCACGATTTGCATGGCGTGGGAACCCGGCCGATTTTCGGTCTTTTCGCCGGTTTTTCCCCCGACCCCGGCGCGACTTATCGCACTGCCATCTAGGTCGGGCCGGTACCATTTTATAAGAAGTACCTAACGACCGAAACGTTTGAACGCTATCCGGACGATCTCGAATATGCAACTATAATCTGAAAGATTCTTATATGTATTCCACCTACATTTTCGACATTTCATATAAATATTCAGAACATATTAGATAGGTACTATATGTACATTATTTTTGAGTGCATTATATTATTATATCATTATCATAGATAGATTATCATTAGATTATCAAAGACATTATATAGGTTATATCAAACATTTTAATTGGGCGTTAATAGTAGATAGTAGCTACCTATGTTAAACATAGGTACATTAAAGTAAACATTAAGCATACATTAAACGTACATCAAACATTCCTTAAACAGGCATGAATCATACATTAAACATACATTAAACATACATTAAACATACATTAAACATACATTAAACATACATTAAACATACATCAAACATACATTAAACGTACATTAAACATACATTAAACATACATTTACAATGTGGTAGGAAGTTGAAATTTAATGCATGTACTAAATGTAATGTAGAATCTTGATGATTAGTAGAAATATTGAACAAAATTTAAAGTATAGATACTTCGAGAATGATTAATAAAACGCCTTTTATAGATTTAATGAAGAATAATGTAATAAATCAGGAATTAATCTATTATGTTAATATAATGTTTGGTACATTTTATATACGATATTATCCGATGTGTGTACCTGTGTGTGTATGTGTAAATATTCCGAACGAAATTAATTAGTCGGGTATGAAATGTCAAGGTGCGAGATGAGCAAACCAAATAAATTAAATATGAAACCTTGGAATTTTTAATTGAATCTCTTTGTTAATCGTAACGATTTTATTTAACTTAAATGTAGTCATTATATTGGTGGAATAAAAAATAAGAGTGTAATAAATGGTGAATAAAAGCGAGAAGGTCGGCCCGATCGAAAAACAAATATAATATTGGGTATATACAAACAAATTTAATAGAATATTATATCTATACATATTAATGCATTTCGAGTGGAATTGTCATAACAATGTTTACCATGTTAAATGATATTGGTTTGGCTATATTTAGATTGAAGATTTTGCAATAATATTTGCAATGTTTCAGCGATTGTTTAGGCAATAAACGAATATTTTATATTGCATTATTTGATGCTGATATATACATTTATAAATTAACATTAAATACAATGAATAATGCACTATTTTTGCAAAAATATTTGCAATTGCTTGTTCTGTATATGAAGCTGTTACAGCAATATTCAAAGCTTTATATACAAAGATGATTCACCAACATTAACAGATACTATTTTTGCTGACATAAATTTTAGAATTTCCTCCGATTTTCTAACAAATTTTGTTGCTAAAGTACATTAAAGTTTAGTGAAGCTGTTATATCGAAAAATGTGCTTAAAATGAAGCTGTTATTTACAATTTATACTACACAAAAAAGCTGTTACATAAAATCTAGATTAACTACTTCTGATTAAGCTGTTATTTTAAAATGTAGATATACTACAAAACTTGTTACATAAATTTTTTTCTACAAACGAAGCTGTTACATAAAAATATAGCCCACCGAAAAAAACTAATCCACTTACACGAACCTTCTTCGCTATAGGTACTCTTCTGATGCTTCCTCTCCGCTTCGCAAATTCTTCTTCTTCTCTGGCGGTTTTTTGCGCGGGTTTCCGCATATCGATTCCGAATCGTCTTCCTGCATCCTAATTCGCGAGAACCTCCGCGAGATAAAAAAAATTAATTAATTTAGTTCATCCGCAGTCGAAGTACGTGCGCCTTACCAGTCCACCAGCTCGCCAAGATAAAAATTCCCCGAGTGTCGTCTCGAAAATTTCTTTCTCTTGCCCGTTCGTCGAAGCATCGAATGGCGTACCAAACCATTTCCCATGTAATTCCCTCGATATTATCAACGTTTCTTTAAAAATATTCCTAGTGCAGGTACCACAAGAGTGTGAGTAATCAAGTGGAATTGACGTTGCGCTGTTGAATAGTTTTTAAATAGGTGATTTTGGGGTATTTAGAGCGGTTGCGCTACTGGCGTGGTTTCGTCGAGGTATCTACTCGGAATAAATGGGGTTTTTTGGGCGATTCGCGGACCACACAGGCGATTCTAAGCACCGATAGAGCCCGTCGAAATAGCGAAAGGGAGATGGAGGAGAAAAAAAAACGGATCGTTTCGGGCGCTCCGGTGGGTTTTTGTTCGATCGAGGGATCGATTTCTTTGAAGGTTCGTTGCGAAATTCCGCATCGGAAATCGAACGGGCGATATGGCAGTGCATTTTGGATGAATTTAATTAGTAGGATGTGTATAGTGGGGTTTCTTTTCTTATCTCGTAGGCATTTGAATCTCCTATATAAAGTGGGTTACTGTTGTCATCAGTTATTTGAATCTCCCATTTAATTCTAGCATAAAAAGTGGGTTACTGTTCTCATCACATCACCTATTTGAATCTCCCATATAAAGTGGGTTTCTGTTCTCATCACCTAATCGAATCTCCCATTTAATTCTCGCATAAAAAGTGGGTTACTGTTCTCATCACATCACCTATTTGAATCTCCCATGCAATTGTCCTATAAAGTACAGGTTTCCTAATTTTTATAAACTGTAGGTATACAAATCAATCGATGACAAACCGAATAATTCGTAATTCAATCGCGCGATTTTCTCACGCTTCTATTACACTTATCTAAATCGGGTTTCTTCTTCTCTTTCTTGGTTTTTTTTTTCATTCCGATTCGATTCGCTCGATTTTCATCGATCCCGAAACGGAATTTGCTTATCGTTGGCTCTTATTGATGCGAGCCCGGCTCGATTTATCGACGCGCCCGGCCGGGAAAATCTCCATTCGCTTCGATAATGGCGAATCGATTGCTTTACCATTCGATTGTGCGTTTGTGAATCGTCGACGAGTAAGGAGAACGCCGCGATTTTTTTGCGCCTATACCCTTTTTCGACTGTATACATTTCTTCTGAGCTTCCTCACTTTGTTTCTGCTGCTGTATGCTTGTACTGGAAACGGGAGTTTATACAGGAGATAAAGACAAGTGTTTTGAATTGCATTTTGGGCCACCTTGTAGATTTGATGTCGAACAGTGGGGCATCCTTCAAAAGAGCCCAAACAAATGTTGGGCTATTATGCGGGTAATGGGCCGTTTTAGGTGAATGTGTCGCCCGGCGTGGGGCCCGGAAAGTTTTTTTTTTTTCGGTAGCGGCTATTTATTGTTTGTTGTTGTTTGTATCTAGCACGGTGCTTTAGATTATAATGGAAATTGAAACGGGAATAATAGAATAAATTTCTTCTTGATTTGTCTTGATTCACATGTTGAAGTTGGATAATCGTCCGACTCTAATAGCATCTCGGAATAAAAGTAAAATATTAAATGCGACAAAATTTATTTGGTACCTACTATACAATAAAGTACTACCTTAATAATAATTCCAGGGATCCCGAATTAGAACTTATAGGTACTAACTATATTTAACTAACATTTTCTTCTGCTTTCTCATGATTGGAAATCCTGAAAGTTACTCTGATAACGAGTTTTATGTTATCGATTTGTTATCGATTAATTAAACGTATCAGCACGGTAAATTATCGTGATTGGAAAGGAAACAGGATCGATTAAGTACCGAAATAGTACTTGAACTATTTACCATTTTTATATTCAACTTTGAATCAAATCTCCCTAACAAATTTTAATACATTACAAATGCTATAATTATTATATAGGTAGGTAATTTAGATTCAACTGTGGAAAATCAGGGAGTCCAACGTTTAGACTCAATCAAAAGTTAGGCCCATCGCCGAAATTTTAGAATCAACATTTAAAAGACACTTTTTAAAGCTATACCAAAATTTTAGACGCAATTTTTAGAAGACAAAATTATAGGCATAATTAATCACCCATCGCCAAAATTTTAGACTCAATTTTGGACACACTTCTTTAAGCGGCTTTCAAATTTTGTGATAAAACTTTAAGAAACCAACATTAACTTCTCTAAAAGAGCCAATTACAATTTTAGACTCAACTTTTAGAACACAATAATTTAGATTCAACTCTCCAAGTGGTCCTCAAAATTGTAGACCAAAATTTAGACTCAATCAATTTAGACCAACCTACCAAATATTTTAGACTCCACTTTTGTAGTAGGTACTACTCATCTCCCAATCAAACAAAAGTACCAAACGCAACAAACTTTATTCGTTATACAAAAAGCACCTCAACAACAATTAAGAATCCCGAATTAGTACTTACATTTAGTACCTAAAGTTTTCCCCTTCTCGTCCCCACGGCCGGAAATCCCGGAAGTTCCTCCTCGCTTGGTTCGCGTGGTACCGACCAGGCTGGTGGTTCTCCTCCCTCCAAACTCCCCCCTTTACACGGCCATTATTTCCACCCTGCGGTCGTACCAGCGGCATTGCGTAGCTCAATCTTGTATTGTAGACGATTTTCTTGTCGTTCTGCTCGTCGGCTTCCAAATCGGAGGTGTACCGATCGAGGAAATCTTGGTCGTACTGCTTCACGCTCTCCTCGTCCTCGTTCGCGTCCACTCCGTACCTCTCCAATAGATCCTCCAAATCGCTGATGTCCGCTTGGTCTGAAACAAACGCGAATCAATGCGGTACTGCTGCCGCGGGTACTATCCGGTTCGGTACTACCGGTACTACCGAAAGAAATAATAATAGGATTTTACGTTGATTTTAACATTAACTAGGTACTACTTTTTAGGTACTACCAGTCGTGGTACTTACTTTGGCTAGCGGCTAATGCCGGGTGCTGTTCTCTTTCGACCAAACTGTTGAAGTACCGTTCGAGCTCCTGATAGTTGGAGTCCTAAAAGACGCGTAAATGTCGTAGAAAAAGTACAGTAGGCGACCGTGGTGGTGGAAAAAGTGCGGTAACTTACTCGTTTGGAATGACGATGGCGATGAAAGGGATCACCGCAGACGGTGTGACAGAGCAGTACCGTCAGACACAGGGCGGCGTGGAATTTCATTTTCGGTACTTCTTTTCTGTTCGTTTTTTTTTCTTCTAAGAGAAACCTTTTCCAACGGCTACTCGATTAGATGTGGAACTAATTAGGGAACAATTTGCACTCACATTTCCTGCGTCCGGGGGGAAGCGATAACGAGTTTATTTTTATCGATTGTATCGATTCATTATCGATTAATTAACCGTATCAGCACGGTGAACAATCGTGATTGTGTAATGTTTGAGATGCATATAGAAAACTAAAAGGAACCGATTAAATATATACCGAAATAGTACCTACAGTTTTAAATTGGTTTTTGAATAATATTTACATTACATTAATACATTATTTAAGCGTTAAGTATGTGTGCAAACACATTATCTTATAATACCTCAAATAAAACATTATCTAAATGTTATATAATATTACATTGTGCTTCACACAACTAGAAAATTACTTTAATATTAATAAACATTATCTTATAATAAATTATACATTATCTAACTACGAAGGCATTATTTGACATATATTTCTCATATCAACGAATATTCTCGGCAATTGTGCATTACCTAACTACGACATTATCTATGATAATTATAACATATGCATTATCTAATAGTTAATTGTTATGTAAATGAATATTCTCCTAACTTATGCATTTGCATACAGGACTAAAACATATACATTATCTTACAGAAACATGTACATTATCTTACAGTAACTTATACATTATCTAACTATTACATATGCATTATTTAATATCTGGCGTTTGTTATGTAAATGGGTAGTATTTTCTAGGATGCAAGCAATCGATCGTTCGTTGGGAAATCGAATCGATTATAGACATAATATACAATCGATTTCCTCGTAATCGTTTGAAGTGCACGGTATATACGGAGGCGACGTTGACAAATTGCGTTTTTGCGGAAAACGTCCGACCGTCGTCCGGTGGAAATTTATATTTCATTTATGCTGTTCCAGTTGAATTATTGAATCGAACCGGACAAATTGGCCATAGCTTATACCGGAGGACGGGGCTCCGACCGTCGGTAATATTAATCCATCAACGGCAGAGGCCGGACGAGTCGGTGTACAGAGGATAAAAAAATTGATGATGATGATGATGATGATGTTGATGAAGGAGGAGAGGTTTGCTTTGCGCTACCGTAAATATACGTGTACGTTTTGATCCGATGAGAATCGAGGTTTACCCGCACACGATGCGATGGATTGTTTGAATTAAAAGAAAACGCGTTACCCTTTTTAAAAAGGGCGCCGCGTTTTTTGAAAAAGGTAGCGCCATTTTGTCGTAGCATTGGACGAAAAATTTGAGTAAAAGTTTGACGTTATACAGTCAAAATGGCAAAATGACGAGGATAAATTAAAAATTAGGGGTACCTGCTTCATGTTTCTATTCGGGGGTTTATGATAATTAATCATCCAATTCCTTTATCATCTGAAATATATTTAACAGCGCCAGTAAAAAATTTAGTGTACAATTGACTCTTAAAATTACATAGTGAAATTTCTGAAAAAGCTTCTGAATCTGAATTATTTAGAGCTCAAATTGTGCCATTTCTAATATGTGGAAAAGATAACTAAGCAAAAAATTCGTATTTCTTGAATATTCGGCGGAATAGCCTTTATAGTAGTTGAGGCCAGTAAACTAGAAAAAAGAAGAAGAAATGGAAAATTACATTGACAGTCAGTGCCTACCATCCTACTATAAGAAAATAATAACAATTTTATATACAAACGTTGAATTTCGATAATATATATTTTTTTTGGTGATTTAATTCTGCTTTTTAACATTTCCTATCATCCCTTGCTAATATTAAATTAAATTCAGCAGAGGTATTAAGCTTAATCTATTTTGTGTATTTACTTCCATAAAAGTTGGTCACAATGCTTGTCAATTATGACAACAGTAGGATATTTGTTTTACACCGACAAACCGATTTAACAAAATTTGTTGCCAACCTAATTTATGTCATCAACATTGTATAGGTATATCGGAATCGTTGCCAACTTAATTTACGATCAGAATTAAATCGAAGAGCCGATTCGAAGAGAGCCGTTTCGCCGTGATGGAAAACGATCGATATACGTGGCATGCACGTGCAGCTATCTCGGCGAATATTTTTATTTAATGCCGCCTTATTGTTTTTAATCATTATTGCTACAATTACCGGCAATCAGACGGTAATTCGTAATAACTCGATCGTTTATTGGAATATCTTCATTCGGCACGACTCCCAGTTATTTACCATTGGCGTACGCAACGCGGGAAACATTCACTTAGAAACATTAGACACTTGACAGATGGCAGATGACATATTGACATACCACGTTCGACAATCGACATTTGTCATTTGACACATGATATTCGCCATTCAATGGCGATATTTGACAAATGTCATCTGACAAATTTAATGACGTTCGTCTGATGACATATATGGCAATAGGCAAAGCCTTGTTGATGTTTTTTTAACATTTAAAAATATAGTAGGCTTGTATTAACGTGTTTATAACGAAATATTGCGACGTTGCCACGCGGTAATTTTTTTTTTGGGAATATCGAATTGGTTACGCCTGTGATTCAGATCGGAAAGAGAAATGGATCGAACGAGAATTAAAAAAAAAATGTTGTTAACATTTCCAACGCGTTATTTATGCGTTGTAATTGGTGAGAAATGTGGTTTGTAACGATACCGAATTATGTATTATAGATATACATTTATATATTTGTAACGAACTATTGAATCGACATATCTATATATAAAACTGGCCATTCGAAACGAAATTAATCGACTCTTAAACGTTTCAAACGGCTCGTCGATCCAACGATCGTTAAATTTTATTATTTCCAAACGAAATCATGCCAACTGAAGCCAAATAGAACAGAAAACTTCCAAATCCGCAAACATCAAGTCTCAAACGTCAAGTGTCAAACGTCAAGTGTCAAACGTCAAGTGTCAAACGTCATCTGTCGAATTTAGTACCCCAAATAGCCTTAGTAGGCGAGGCCTCAAATGAAGTAGAAGAAGTCAAATAAGAATATAACTGCTCAAAAATCAAGCGTGCAGCTGTATACATTTCAACGCCAACTTTTATCGTTATATTGTATAGGTAATTTATAATTTGATCTGATTTTTATTTCCCGTATTTTTTGGACTGTTACGAAACGCTTGTAATAATCGGACTGTGACCGATTCGGATTTGTCAATTAAGCGCAAACAATATGATGAATGATGCATGATGAGCGACATGTTCGCGCTCCGATTCCGACGATCACGCGCCCAAAAAACTATTGTTTAGTTGTTTTAGTCGTTGTTCCCGAACGTCCTTCGATCGTCCTGTCGTTTGCGCCGTTGCCGCGTCTACGCGAATATCCTCGGAACATCGGATTTTTCCTCCTGATATCTAATACATGCAAAGAGGGAATCGTAATGTGTGAATAGGTTATGACTAGAGTTTGGCTTTGGTTTGACTATGTTTTGATTAGTTTTTCATTACCTTTTGACTAGTTTTTGACTAGCTGTTGGCTAGCTTTTGACTAGCTTTTGACTAGCTTTTGACTAGCTTTATAGACTTTCGATTAGGTTTTGACTAGCTGTTGACAATATTTTTGACGAACTGTTGACTAGCTGTTGACTAGCTTCTGATTATACCCTCTGACCAGCTATTGACAAGCTTTTGACAAGCTGTTGATTAGCTTTTGACTAGCTTTTCCCTAACTTTTCACTAGCTTTAGACCAGATTTTGACTAGTTTTAGACTTTTGATTAGGTTTTGAGTAGCTGTTGACTAGATTTTTGACGAGCTGTTGACTAGCTTCCGACTATCCTTTGACTAGCTTCTGAATAACTTTTGACTAGTTTTTTAACTATTCGTTGACTAGGTTTAGACTAGCTTCTGATTACCCTCTGACCAGCAGTTGACCAGCTTTTGACCAGCATTTGCGTATCCTTTAACTATTATTAGTGGCATTTCGTGACAACGACCGTTAAACGTAAAATTTTTTTGTTCTCTCCGTTTTCTTCAGTTATGTTTTTCCTTTTCTTTCTTTTTTTTCGTTGTTGCCGTTATTGTTACCGGCGTAAAAATTTTTCATGCGAGTACCGGCGTTGAGTTACGGCCTTCGTAAGACGACAAAGAAATCATAAATGTCAGGTGCCCATCTGAAATATGCTACTATAATACTAGAGTATAGAGTTGAACTATGGGCCTCTAGACAATGTATTCGAAAAACAGATGGTCTTTATATGCAACAATATTAATTTTCGTGCACACGGAAATGTGGAAGAAGTACTATAAGAATCTAAACGGGGAGAAATCGTTATCGATAATTGGTTATAAAATTACTTCTTCTTAGGTACTACCATGAAAGAAGTAAGAAAATGATAAAAATAAAAAAAAAATTTGACGGTTAGTACCAAGTCGATCGTAGGCAGTACTATGCACAGGCACATTATGCCTACACTATAGTACCGATTCGCGCTACTTCGAATACTACCTATTGATATAGCAAAGTCTACTTGGATATAATCAATAAAACATATCCGGTACTACCGGTACTACCACCCAACTATACGTCCGGTACTACCGGTACTACCACCCAACTGTACGTCCGGTACTACCGGATTTCTTAAAATAATTACGCCCGAAAATTTCCGGCACGTTTTCTAATAGGTTACAGGTACCCAGCGCATTTCTCGGAACGAATCGTTCCTGAAACGGCTCAGCATCTCGAGCGCGAGCAGTACTCGCTTTAATTTGTATTTGGCAGGCGGATAGGCAATAAATAGATTAAGCGAACGCGGTGAGAGCCCGTCCGGATCCCTTGCGCACATACAAATTGCGCTTTATCGACTATCTAAGGACAAAAGTCTCCGGAGAAGACGGAGAAATGGACTTCCATTTCGATATGACGAGAGATCCGTACGGTTATCGACACGGCGCATTCGTAAATTCTATACACGGTACTATGTAGGTACTACGATCCGTATGTATAGCAAAGTTCGATTTTTTTGTTGCGTTTATCTACCGTATAAATTACGAAAAGTGAGTAATGAGTAGACCTAACTTCTATAGCACTGTGAATTTTATTATTTTGGGGGAGTAAATGACTCTCTTGGGTATAAAAGTGACTCTCTTGGTCATACAAATGACTCTCTTGGGTATAAAAGTGACTCTCTTGGGCATACAAATGACTCTTTTGGGCATAAAAGTGACTCTTGGGCATACAAATGACTCTTTTGGGTATAAAAGTGACTCTCTTGGACATACAAATGACTTTCTTGGGTATACAAATGACTCTCTTGGGCATACAAATGACTCTTTTGGGTGTACAAATGACTCTCTTGGGCATTATAAATAACTCTTGTGTACACAAGTGATTCTCTTGGGTATATAAATGACTATTTTTGGAGTATAAACCACTCTCTAGGGTACCTACATAAATATGTAAAAAAATTTGCATATTTATCCTTCTTTGTATACAAAATCATACTTTAAGTCCTTATTTTTTCTCGCTGGCTTCGCAAGCTCGGCTTCAACACTGCCAGCCTACTATAGTAAAAAATATTACAAAATAATATCTCGCGGTAGAGTTTACAAAACAGTGAAAATAGCAGAGATAACCGAGAAAAAAAATCAATGAAATAAACGCGACGGATGCCGATGCGTGCGAGCATCCGCCGCTGAACTAGATCGGACGCGTTCAATTTGTACTTAGGCGATGGATACAAAAAAAAAACCGAGGCAAAAAAATATATATCGAATGAAAGAGGAAAAACTGGCGACGTTTACGGCGCATTCCGCGTGCATCTGGTATCGATATGGCGAGCCCGATTTTCAGGAAAACAGGAAGTTACACGTACAACACCGGCGAGCTTTAGGTAGTACTTAAAACTATCGGTACTGTTAGCTAATGGACGGTGGAATTACGTCTATCACCTGAGATTAAACCGAATCTCTATAATATTTTATTACCAATGTGAAATTTCATATCAAATGTGCTCTAATCTGTCAAATGGCATGTGTCAAATGTCATGTGTCAAATGTCATGTGTCAAATGTCATATGTCAAATGTCATGTGTCAAATGTCATGTGTCAAATGTCATGTGTCAAATGTCAAATGTCATGAGTCAAATGGAATTACACTTAATTACAAACGATTCACCAGTTATAAAAATTTTCAATAGTTTCTATACCTATCTATACCTACAAACAGACAAGGATAGAAAAAAAAATGAAACAGTAAGAATATAAATAAAGCGCATTTTATACCAACCTATACAGTTGTCTTTCCATCGCGTCGTAAATCATCTTAAAAATGGTAATTATGAGCGTTTTTATTCGCCTACCGATCACCGAAAGTACCGAATAACTCCGAATTTCGAATGGAACAACCGAAAAAAATAAAATAAATTAAAAAGAAAAAAAAAAACGGTACTCTATTAAATAGTATACGGCATAAAATCCCCATAAAGTCCGGTGAATTACGGGCCGGTGTGCGCGTCGTGTTCGTGTTCCACATAGTGACGGCCTACGCGCTCTCGATAAAATAAATCCATGTTAAATTCACCGAAAAAAAAATTAATTATGATAATAAATAAATACACGGTGTCACAAAAATACTGTCTTAATCTCTTTGTGTATACAGGGTGTTAATTAATTGTATGCCGATACTTCAGGATGTGAATATTTGGATGATTTTAAGAAGAAAAGTTTATATCAATGTATGTCCTAAACCTCTTAGTTTTCGAGCTACAGGGTGTTAAAATTTTAGAAAAAAAATAATAATTTTCTATCATAATTTTCTTATTATGGATTCTTATTCAGGATAGTTTTGGAACTGTTCAGAATCCGGAAACTGTCCGGAATCATTCATAGAACTATTTCAGAAGCGACTATAAGAGAGGATTTGAAACAGGTCAGGACCGTCTTTGAACAGTTTAGAATTCTCCAAAATTATTTCGAACGGAATCAGAACTATTCGGAACTGTTTAGGATTAACTAGAATAGTCCGGAAACATTAGGCACGTTTTCAGTACTACTTAGAAATTTTTTTAGAATTTTTCTCACGAAAAATCAACTAATTTCGTGAAATATTCGTCAAATTAGAATGAAAAAATCTTCAAAATCATATAAAAAATCATCAAACTTACATGAAAAATCATTATATTTCAATAAAACAGAAATAATTTGTATTTATTTGCCACTAAAAAATATTATCACTTCATTAACACCAATAATACACCGATTAAATTCAGAACACCCCACTCGAACAAACCCAATGCATAATGACAATTGTCAACCGACTCGGTACTACTACTACTATTAAAAAAATATACATATAGATAGATATATAAAGAAAGTACCGGTCATCAACATATGCGAATAGGCCTATAACATTTATTCGCGATATAACCCATTAAATAGTGGATCGTTATTAAAATGTTTTCGATGTCTTTTCCCGTCCCATTATCGGCCGGCCATTAATTAGAACGATCCCCCCGGCCTATAGGTACCAATATTTAAGTAGTACCCGTCTTTATTGCCGTTACAACAACCTAATCGGCCGTTACTTTATGATAACTGCCCGGCCATAATGGCGAAACATTATGTAAATATTCAAAAATGAATGGTGTAAATCGATGTGTAAATATCCCGCTAATGGCCAATTAAAACGTTGGAAATTGTACCAAGTCGACGAGTTAGTTTTTATCTTTTTTTTTTTTTGTTTTCCTATGTTATTTAAATGGCGAATTTAAATGGCGGAATTAAGACAATTTTCCGCGTAATTATGCTTCTTTATTGGTATACCTAATGGCTTGATTATGTTTCTATATGAAATAAAATTGTAACATTAAACGTTAACATTTTTTGTACAGCCATGTTACACTTAATAGGTAAAAGGCCATCGTATAAAAAGAACGGTATTTAACCAGTCAATAAACAGGTAAAAGGCCGGTAGATGATAAGAAGTAGAGCAATCTTGTTTCAAACAAATACTTGTGACCAGCCACTTACGAAGCAAAAGGCCATCGTATATATAAAAAGAAGAAGACCAAACGGGTTTCACTCATATACTTTCTATATACACGTCATATAATGTAACTAAGCTAACGCGTATAATTGACCAGTCACTTAACAAGTAAAAGGCCATTATATAAAACGAAGAAAACGACGTGTAGTTTACCAGTTCGCTTTGTCAACGTCAAATCTGTGACGGAATTAACCATTAGGCGCGAATACGCGCTCCTCCCATTCCGATAAATCACGGCGACATTTGACACAACGAAAATCCTCTTCTTCTTCTTCTTCTTCTTTTTCGTTTTTGCTCGTTTTTATCTAGGCGCGAATTAATCAGCGCCGCGTGGGAACGCCGTACAATCGTCGAAGCGGAGGTCTTAATCGCGGGCTCGAGCTCTCTCTCATAACCTCACTTTCCGGCCGTTTAATTGCGATATTAATGGCCCGCTCGAACGGAATCGATTTGTCGAAGTTGGCTGTGCCTTCGCGACCACGAAAATTCATCAACGTTTAATCCGCCGGTCGCCAGGAAAATCTAGTAGCAACGGTACACGTTTTAATCGCACGGTTGGCCGTGGAATTTTGACGTTTCATTGACAGAATGACGTTTTGATTGTAAACAACGTAGGTACATATGTTTGGTCAAGATCAATTCGAGCAAGCCGTGGTATTTTGACGTTTCGTTGACACTTGACAGGATGACATTCGTTACTCTCATGTCGATTCGCTTGCGAAAAAAATTCTTCTTGGACTGGTCCACTTGTTAATGCACACCCAACGTGTTCTGTCAATGTCAACGGTGACAAGCGATGTTGTCAACTGTCAATTGTCACTTTTTTTGCGCATTCCTCTCACTAATCTTCCGAATTAATCGACGTAATTCATATATAAACAGAGATATTGGTTCGCTCCGTGCGAAATGTCTCTACTCGACGCGGGAATGAGAAGAAGAATAAGAATAAGAAGAAGAAGAAGAAAGAAGCGAACGCTAAGTAGATGAGTAATGTGAGCGCTCCCGCCGGCCTGGCTGTAGATCCTCGCAGAACGAGACCACCGCACATCAGCCAGCCCCCTTCGATCATCTTAAAATATATATTCCCGTTGGAACTGAATTAAAGGAACTTATTAGGGACACCCTGTAATGTTACCCCTTAAAAATACAGGGTCGGTTACGAATCAGTTAGATAACAATGCGAAAAACCATATACAGGGTGCCTCAGGAACTGAATTAAGAAGTTAGGACACACTGTAAAATATAACTGATAGAAAAATCATAAATCTATATAGAGGGTGTCCTATGAAACTGAGTTAAGAAAATTTCTAAGACAACCTGTAGCATTAACCTAAAATATAGCCTATGAAAAGAAAAAATTATATACAGGGTGATATACAGGAGTCTGTCTATTTCCAAAAGTGTTTCGGATTATTTCTGAATCGAATGAATTAGAAATTTCTCTTGCCAAACGCGCCATTTATTCCGCGATCACGTCAACGAGACGCGCCGGGAATGCGAAAAGCCATCATAAAAAATTCAACTCGTCGAATTAGTACCAACGAAAATTGGCGCAATTCGCGCGAATTAATTATTTATAATTCCGAAACAAAAATTCGATTTCGACAACGTTTCATGTTGACATCCGTTTTACTATAAATACCCCGACATTTTACCGTAAACAGCACAGTCCAATCCAATCCACCAATTCGACTACAGTCCCAGCAAAATGGCCGCCAAAAATCTGGTAAGTTCAAAACTATAATCAAGTCACCGTTTCATCTACACCGCAACTGTCACAAACATCATACTTGTCATACTTGTCATACTTGTCATGGCGAGGTTAAGTCACATTATAGTTGTTTATTTTTTCTGCAGTTGGTAACACTTTTCACCGCGGGTATGCTGATGAGCTGCACGGGAGGCGCTTCGGCTTCGATAGCTGCAGTCCCCGCAGCCGTCGCCGCCCCTCTCACCGTCCCCTACGCCTCCTCCTACACCGCCAGCGTCGTCAATCACGGCGTCGCCGCCCCCGTCGCGGCGCCACTGGTCGCTCGAGTCGCCGCCGCCCCCCTGGTAGCCCCCGCCGTGGCTTCCTACAGCGCTTTACCTGCGGCTTACGGAGCTTTACCTGCGGCTTACAGCGCCTTACCGGCGGCTTACGGAGCTTTACCGGCGGCTTACGGAGCTTTACCGGCGGCTTACGGAGCTTTACCGGCGGCTTACAGCGCTTTACCGGCGGCTTACGGAGCTTTACCGGCGGCTTACAGCGCTTTACCGGCGGCTTACAGCGCTTTACCGGGGGCTTACGGAGCTTTACCGGTTCCAGCGGCGCCGTTGGTGGTGAGAAAGTAAATTGTAGAAAGTTAACAGACGGTCTGTATATATTTGTATAATTTTTTTTAATGATATTTTGTTGTATATCTTTTTGTATTTGATTTGATTAAAATGGCGTTGAAATGCTTACGTTTGGTTTTAATTTGGCGGACAAAAATCAATAAATTGGCGATTAATTAGAGGAGGAATGATTGATTGTTAATTAAACGGTTGTTAAATGGACATAATGTGATGAATTGAACAAAGAAAGATTATCAAAATAACATTGTAAAATAAGAGAGAAGAAAATTATAATAGAAAAGAAGAAAATGACCGGTTAAATGACAAGTAAAAGTCCGGTAAACCTATGATTAAATAACCGACCGGTTAACCGTAATATATGAATTTTAATAAAGAATATCGAGCATCGTAAATCAGGCGATCAGTCACCGTGAGAACCGGTGAAAGTGATATCGAAACGTGGGACACATCGAAAAGAAATAATGCAATTTCAAATAAATAAATAATTCCGAATCCTTTCTAATTCGAACGCCGGTATAATTCGCCTATAAACATTAATTTACAATATAAAATACAGCCCGTTTACAATTTCATCCACCCCCGTATATTAATTACCGGTTAATCGCGTTTCGCTACTATATTATAGATAGGTTTTGCATCTAATATACAAGGTGATATTACTCTCGCAATAGGGCCTTCCCACGCCAACTTTATGTGTATATATAGATACAAAAATATATATATCAACATCCCATTCAATTCGAAACGGTATTATAATGTAAGTATAATGAGCAGCGCCCCCTAGGCAATCCCATCGTGAGTCACACTTGTAGGTGATATAGTTATTAGGAGGTGTGAGAAATTCGCTCGGGTTATGTGAATGTGGCTCGGAACGAGAAAAAATTTGAAATTCCGATTATTTCCCGCCATATAGAATAGTACGAGAAACGACTTCACTGCGTATAAAACCGGAGTAATTGAATTTGTCGGTAATTACTCGACATCGAACGGTAATTGACACGTAGCAATTCTTATTGTTGGTTATAATAATTATAGTTAGTCACCAAGTCGAGTAATTAATCAGTAAATAATTGGTAATTGTGCAGTAATCAAATAGAATTAGTAAGTAATTGATTGGAAGTATTTACCAGTGCCTAATTAACTTTTAGTATAATTGGTTAGTGACCAACTCGAGGAAATTAACCAGTAAATAATTAGCACTAGTACATCATAAATTAATAGTGAGTAATTGATTGGAGTTAATTACAGAGTAATACCTACTTAGAAACTAAATTGAGTTATTAACTACAAGTACTATAATTACAGATTAATCCTTACTAATTAGTTAGTTACTCAGTAATTAATCGGTCATTATTTACAAGTTCCTAATGAAAAAGGAATTTTTTTTAATATAATTAGTAAATGACCAATTCGAGTAAGAAACCAGTAAATAATTAGTAATTGAGCAATAGATACATTATCAATTAATTGGCGTCAGTAATTAATTGGCGGTAATTGCCTCGTCTATAGAGCCCCTGATAGCCTAATTGACTCTAAACGATACTTTCTAAAACGCCTCTAAATTGACTCTTCTAGGCGAGTCAATACATCACAATATATCACCTAACTAAAGCATATAGCCCGTTCTACGATCCCCCGTCGTGACGTCATCGACCCCTTATATTTCAACGTTCGATAACCGGCCGGTTGACGAACGTTAATTGCACGGTAATTGCACGGCAATCGGAGCAAAAGGCCGCGAGAAAGAGAGAGAGAGAGAGAGACAGGGAGAGACAGACAGACAAAGACGGACAGCAGAATATAAGAGAACCGTCTTTTATCGAGATCGTCATTTAAACCAATAATTAAGCTCGACCGCGGCTTAGAAGGCGGCGGCTACCGAAGCGTCAACTAACGAGCTTGTATATCGTCGGATCTTATTAAATTTTTCCTCTATTAATCGAACGCCGTATATATAATTCGATTCGTTCGATAAACGGCGCGAATTTATCGCGTTCTTATTTCTAACGGTCCGTTAAATTTAACCGGCTCGTTAAAATTATTTGTATATACGTTATTCTAACCGCCTGGTAAAATGTTGTAGCGTGTAAAATATATCGTTTGTTTAGGCGCTGGTTAAATTTGATCGCGCGTTAGTCTAACATTCCGTTAAAATTAACGGTCCGTTAAATTTAACCGCTTCGTTAAATTTATTTGTACGTTATTCTAAGCGCCTGGTAAAATGTAAAATACATTATATTGTTTAGGCGCTGGTTAAATTTGAACAGACCGTTACAATTAACGGTCCGTTAAACAACAATTAGGCTCGAAAAATAGGGATAGATATCGGGTAAATTAATCATTAACGTAACGAAACGAAACGGACGGAGAAAAAAAATTTATATATCTATATGGTTAACAGACACTTGACGTCGAGAACGTTCGGAGAATTTATTAGAAAATTATTCATCCGCCCGGTTATAGAGGAGATGCCGGGCCATCTAACGAAAATAGAACAGAAAACGATAAATAACCGACATAAAACCCGAACTAATCTTGAAGTGTCAGAAGGTGTTTTGTAAAATTCGATTTTACGACCCGCCTATAGCCGCTTCCATTTATGAAAACCTTCTTCGATGGGACAGTAACGGACCGTTTAATAGAAAATAACCGGCCATTTTACGGGCCGTAATTCGTAAAAATCCTTAAATCGTCGATTTAATTTTTTTAATCCGCCGAAATTAACGATCCGCCTATAACGGACGGTTAATTTAACCGATCGATTTGCATCGAAGTTAACTAACGAGCGAAGGAATTACTCGTTTATTTCGTTTAATCCATCGTGCTGTTATTTATAGAATAAATAAATTAAAGTTATACTTTATTAAGGCTCCGTTAAAATTTAATTGTCGAGTTAACTGTACGTTATTTTGATGCCTCGTTAAATTTGTTAGTTTTCGACATCATGCATTATTAAAATAAATAAAGTTATAATAGTTTTGTAACTCTTCGATAATTATCGTTAATTAACTCCTTAATTAATACCTTAATTAACTCTACGTTATTTTAAAGTCTCGTTAAATTCGTTAGATTTTCGAGTACCTAATACCTACATTTATTGTCGTTAAATTTAATCGTCGGTTAAATTTAATCGCCTGGAAAAAAAAATCTGGAGATCGATTCGGGCGAGTGCGGTACTGTTTGTTTTTAGCGGTACGTGTATTTCGAATTATAACTCGTCGAACTCGAACGGGCGACCTTTCACCCAAACACACCTGCTTTAATTGATAAAATATTGACCACGTGCTTGAAAATTTTCAGATTATTTTACCATAAATTCCGACCGTAAACAGGAAAGTTCGATTTTATTGCGATTTTATTAGGATTTTTAGAAACGCCGTTCCGTTTTAGAGCTTAAACGACTCGATTTCGGACGATCCGGCCGTGGCTAAGCGACCGACCTGAATGACAACTAACGATAAAAATTTTAATTTGTTATATTTTCGTTTCACATATTTCATAAAATATTTGATAGAAAGACGTGGAATGTTTTTTTCGCTCATTTTTTTCCAAATTTTTCGATATCGATTCCTTCGGCATACATTTTTACAGCTCGCTCTTGTAGTATGTAGTATAGATACTGCCGAAAACAAATTTAAATGCCTAGTTGCCAAATCTACAAAAAAATCCCACTTCTACTGCATATGAAACAAATTTGCAGAGTTGCCAAACGTACAAAAAAAATCAACTTTTGAAGGATTTTTTTTTTGGGATAAATGTTAAATTCCCGTCGGTCGTTCGAGTAGCCACGGACTCGCATTAACACACCGCGCGGTAATATGTCACAGTTCATTAATGACGTCCAATAAACCCGTTTTTTTTGTGTAATATTATTTTTTTTTCATCGTCTTCTCTCTTTTTCCATAAGTATCGTACAGGCATGTAATTTAGAATTCCGGATTATTGACAGGATGCATAAATAACGCGCCGGATCGCTTTAGGTTAGAGTGAATTGTTCGAAATACCGAAATTATGGAGATTCGAATAATGTAAATGATTCACTCGACGAGGGGTCCTGACCACGTGCTGTCGATTAGAAAATAACGCGTATAAAAAAGTCGTCGGGAATGTTAAAGTAACGTTAATTTTACGTTAATTTTACGTTTTGAAATTATCACCGGATTCGTTTATTAGATAGATATCGTCCTGGTGGATTTTTTATTGCACATGATTTTTCACTAATCATTAATCAGTTAGGTATTAGCTGTAGAGTATTTGAATATATATATTTTATTATTTTTAGATAGATATTATTAGATATATGATTTTATTCCTATTTAAATTTCCCATACAACTCAAATAAAGTAGGTATCTTTCATCACCTCCTATAGATGCATCTCTCATATAATTCCCCCTTAAAAAGTGGATTGCTGTTCTCATCACATCACCTATTTGAATCTCCCATATAATTTTAATATAAAGTGGGTTTCTGTTTTCATCAAATCACCTATTTGAATCTCCCATATAATTCTAATGTAAAGTGGGTTTCTGTTCTCATCACCCATTTGAATCTCCCATATAATTCTATTAAAAAGTGGGTTACTGTTCTCATCACATCGCCTATTTGAATCTCCCATATAAACCTAATGTAAAGTGGGTTTCTGTTCTCATCACCTATTTGAATCTCCCATTTAATTTTAATATAAAGTGGGTTACTGTTCTCATCGCCTCACCTAATTGAATCTCCCATATAAATCTAATGTAAAGTGGGTTTCTGTTCTCATCACCCATTTGAATCTCCCACATAATTCTCCCACAAAACGTAGAATACTATTTCCATCACCTGCTCGAATCTCCCATATTAAATGATGGTTAACTATTCACATCACCTGTAAGAATCCCCATTAATCGAGTACCTAACCTCATCTACTTTTTATATCCCCACAAACCTACATTTTTTGTGATTCGAACAAAACAACAACCCGCTCCAATAAAATCCGAATTAGACTATATATCCT